GCGTCGATCTGTGGAAGGACTTAGCATTCTTTGGGCCACTGCGAACTTCACAGCCTCGCTGGCAAACTGTTTCTTCGCTTTTTCTGCTGTACTGCCTGTGTATATCAGAATATCAGCGGTATACATGCCCATTTTAGAGTTTTCCATACTACTACAGTTTTGGTTCTACTCCAAGCACACTATGCGGATGAGATTATCCTACGGCGCTGGGTGTTTTCTGATCTGGATTGCAGTGATCAGTTTAGAACTTTCCGTTTCCGATGCCGAAAAAAATGTCCAGTGGTTGGCAATTGTACTTTGGTCTATTGAGTCATTTCCGCAGGTGAGCAGCTCAATATAACTAATTAATTTGATCTGAGACAGTACTGATTTAAAATAACCCACACGCGAACTAATTCGTGATATGTTACTCTTCGTCCATTATGAAAAATTTAGGCCTAGTTTCCTAATCTCGTCATATTTTTTCAATACCAGACTACCCCTCACTCTTTCTTTGCTACACACTCTGAATCTTAGATAATATGCAGGACCAATCTGTGCGATATAACTCCTTTATGGGTCCTTCACTCGTTTCCAAGGAGAGATGAGCTAAGTGTTGATTCACTACAAGTATCTTTCCAAATCAGTGATAGGGTATGTTGCCTAAATCATAGCAACATTCAGCCTCTCATTGGAGGATTTATAACTGAATGGCATGGTATAGACCTGTGGGGCATTTAAAAACCTATTGTGGAGTAAGGGGGGGATGTAGGTTTCTTAAGAAACTGTGGCGCTGCATTGGTGGGAGAGTATAACAGGGTAATTTAGTATTATCAAATGAGTTGATAATGTAAATTGGCCTCCATAAAGAGTTGAAAAGCTAATGTTACAAGTGTTAGCTGTTTGCCATTTGCTCTGATGAAGTGGAGCAAACTTTTTAAATTTGATTCTGTGTAACTAACCAACTAACCTGTATTTGTATATGTAACTGACTTCCCTTATTAGAATGTGGTTGCACAGATAGCCTGCAATGCAGGTATCTTATCAGGGAAAGTTAAAGTTACCAGCTCACAATCATTTATCCGACCCACCAAGTTTGATTTGGAGTTAGAGTGGATAGCAGGGGGAGGGGCATGGGAGAAGCAATAATATTTATCACCCCATCCCTACCCTCTCCTTCACCGTCACTCACCCCCTTGGTACAAGTTTCTTTCTCTACCCAGCCTTCCACTGCTGTTAAAATAAAAGATGGTAGCGATAATTTTCACTAAAAAACTGATGAATCTAATGGATTACAAATGTGTACAAATGATATCAGGAAAAGAAATTAGCATCAAGTGTTTGTCAGGTTGTGGTTACCTTGTGAGTACTGTGTCCCTGAACTCCCAGAAGTGATTACTTACACCAAATTCTCATAACTTAGTGACAAGAAAAAGTGTGTGCCAGCTAGAGGGAGGAATTAATAATCAGGGCTCAGTTTTTCATAGGGCAAATGACAGTATCCAAGGGATAAATTGCTATCCAGCAGATAACTGTAAAAAAAAAAAAACAACAAAACTGTGGTAACAATGCTAGTTGTCTGTCCAAAAACAATAGTTGGTTACCTGTGGCACCCATGCTCAGCTGTTGCATAGCCCTGCTGCAGGTGCATCTGAACACAAGCAGTTCGCTTCACTTTACTGTCTCTTGCACTCCATGTAATTCTGTTCTATCCCAAATGAGGGCAACTAATTAAGTCTATTCACACCATAGTTTCATTTTTGCTTGGTTCTCTTGACAAACCACATCTTGCCATCCATTTCTGATGAACCCAGGCACTGTGACATATGGCATGCAACATTGTGTTTCTCTCCATAAATGTCCCATGTTAGTCAGAAGTGGGAAGCAATTCTAAGAGAATATCCAGTGTGCAGTGAATAATGTTCGATCTGTTGCAGAAATCAAAGCACAATTTTTATAGCTCTTAATATTACAGTCCCAGCTAATTACCAGCAGCTTTTAAGGAAATGCAATGGAGGATTGGAGAGGAGATGCAAAATAAAGACAGAAATCAACCCTGAAGATCATTAGCAGTGAATACATAATCTGGTTTTTATTCTGGTCTCTACAACACACCTCCCACTCCACAGCATTGCAGATTCAAACCAACTCCCACTCTTAAGCCCTTTCCTGCATGAGGGAAATGATAAATTTTTCTAAAATGAGAATGGTGAACTACTAGACCATGTATAATATATCACTTTATAGGTATTTTTTGGGGTATGCTGATGGACACCAACAGGTGTGGAGGTGGTAATTGAAATAACTGAGAAGTTTCCAAAGTGAAAAATTGAAAATCATTGAAATTTTTTGTTTGACTCATACATATACCACTAAACTATAGCCTAAATTGCAGCTCTCAGAGCATTGATTGTGGTGAGATATCACCTGAACCAGAACAGTACAAAGACAAAAAGTTCCAAAAGTTGCAGAAGTGGTGAACAAAGTCTTGTATTGGATGGGGCTATGATTTTATGCCTTCAATGTGCAGATCTTTCAATGATCTTTTAGTTTAATGTGGAAATTTTAGAAAAAATGAATAGATATTGAGCATGTAATGGCATCCTATGCCATATGGCACTCTTGGGCT